ACTGCTAATATTAATGAATAAAAAATGATCACTAATTTCAGTAGAATGGAATTTGTGTCTTGCACTGTGAAAATACAATGCTGGTGTTTGGATGCGACTCCAACAAAAACGATGGCTGTTGAGGACCTTGCTTTTCTCTGTGGCACTCCATTTATTTTGAAACTCAAACTTGGATCTTATAATAATATCAAAATCATCCAGTGGACCTTGATCATTTCTGTCCAAGCATCTCAACATTTTGAACATTCAAACATTACAAGTTTAGATTTGTGGCTAATTTCTGGATATGAGTCCAACCAATTGTGTAGAAAAAATAATCAAACTTTTAAAGTCAGATTTCCTAAGACTTTTAAGAATCTGAATTGAAAATTTAGATTTCGAAGGACAAATAACTTGTAAAATATTTAGACTTAAACCAGTAACTTGTCTCATAAGAAATAAATGAATAATTAGTTCATACAAATTGTAAAACTTACTTAATCCATTAATTATATTTAGAATCCATTGAAATGCATTTTTTTGAACTAACGGGAAGTTTTATTCTAAACAGGAAATTGAACTGAGATGTTTTGTTTTAAATTGGTTGGCTCAGCAGCTTTTTCTGTTAATTCCGTTGTTGTTTGTTTCTCTGAATGGTCCTCTGCGGTGTCTGAAAAATAAGCTGCTTAATTTTTGAAGCTTCTGTCTCTACATAACCTGTCTCTTTCAAGAAAGAAACTGATGGTAGAACTCATGCATTAAAAAAATACCAAAATCCATAGCCAACAGGACTATCAAAACTCTGAGTCTGAAGATGAAGCCCAAAAAACTATTTTGTGCTTAGTTTCCTTGTTTAGTTCTGCTATACCGGCTTCATTTAATAAAGTAACTGGGACTTACTAAAAGGGTCTTTTGAGACAAAGCTGAGGTTGATTTCTGATTGCAGCTTCCAATTCAGAAAATGGCTAAAGGACAACTCCACCAAATTTTTCACTATCTCCGACAACTTTAATCTACTCTAGTTAAAAAAAAATACCACACATAGACTGGACTGGATTACTCTCAACTAACAACAGAAAATTTTAAACCATTTTTGTGAATTGTGAAACTTTTATCTCACGTGTGCAACTTCAATAAAGGGAGGAACTGCTCCAATTGCAAAACTAAAACAACTAGACTCTAATCCTGGACTAGATTATTCTCAACTACTAGCATAAAAAAAAACAAATTTGGGATTCATGAAACCTTGAAATAAAAACTTGAAAAGTGAGATTTTGGCCATTCACATTATTATTCACATTCATTCTATGCAGTTATTTTATGAGAAAACCCAACAAGTAGCATGCAGACATTGGCATGCTCCATTCAGTCTTTTGTTATGAATGGATTCATAGTGAACATAATTTGAATTTTTCTGTCAAAGCCTTATAGAAAGCAAGCATGGAGCGACAACAGAAACCAAACACTTCCTTTAACTGGACTACTTTCTGTGTAAAAGAAAAGTAAAACGGTAATACCAGAGTGAAGAAAACATTAGGGTTTTGGAAGCAATATCCCAGTTGATACCACCTGCATGAACATATCTATTCTACTCTCCTGGTGTGTTTATTAACACAATTTAGCAGTAAGCCTAATTCCAATAGAATGAATGCTTGAGTCAGGATGCAGGTTCTTTACTTTCGCTTTATTCTGGTGTCCCAAGTACCTGTACAACATGGAGTAAACTGTAACATAAACAGCTGCTTTCATTATGAGTGGAAGATAGTTAAAACAAAGATCACATTCTTAACAACTAAGATATTGAATAAAATCTACTCTTGAATAATAAATGAAAACTTTTTGGCGGTTCCATCCTTGATGACTTTGACCTCAAGCCTGCGGACCTTGCCATTGTTGCCTGGGAAAGTGTCAGTCACGAGAGCCATGGGCCAATCATTGCGACATGTACAATCATCCTTCAGCAAAACAACGTCACCCTTTTAACGTTGGGACTTGACTCTTCCCATTTGTCTTTCAGTTATGTAACCTGTGTTATGGACCTTTCCCAAACACACCACCCATTAACACCCATCTGAGGTCAAGCTTTTGTGCAGAAGGAGCATTGCCTGGACTATTGATCTGCTGTCTCACTTTGTGAACCCAGAAAATGTCCCTACCAAGCAGGTGAATAATCTGCATCGTTGTCCAATGGCGGAATTTCACTGACTCCTTAGGTGCAGATGATTGAAAGCAGCCTCTGGCATTGGTATTTCATCACGATTGACCGGAAAATTATCACATTCGATCAGTCTTGGGAATGGAAAACTAGTTCTGTCATTCCCTGCCTCACTTTGGAAGCCTTTTGTTCTCCTGTCAGACGTTGACACTAAGTCAGCACACATCTTCAGTGTGTAGGGATATGAGTCTGCTTTAATTTTAAATAAGTTGAAAAACTGACCTGGTCAGAGATTTGTTGCTCTGGTCATAAATCATAGCATATATGTTGATAGCTTTTTGTGGTTGCTCTACTGAGTAAACCTTCACTAGACAGATTTTTTAACAGGATTTTGAAGTGAAGGGGTCGCCACAAACTTCAGTGCACATAGGATTTACGACTGGTGCTGGCCTAGTGTCCTCTTTTTCAGGCTCCCCATCATCATCTATCACAAGACTTGCAGTCTTGCTGGACCAGTGGGTTGGACCAGTGGGGAGGACCAGGGTGAAGACTCTCGATAATGTCACATTCATCACATGTTAGTGTGACTGCAGTCAAGAGTGAGATGAAAACAGATTTGTTGATCCTTCATGTAAGCCTTGTATTCTTCTATGGTTTTTAGCCTGAAGCCAGGACACTTCTTTAACTTGTGAGATTTTTTATGGATGGGGCAATATTTGGCCACATCACCTTTTAGTGGTACTTTGTTGTATAACTCAAGACCTGTGCACTGAAACTGGGGTTCTGAAATTAATGTGACGTGAGATTGGATTTTCTGTCACAGAACTGCTTCCAGAAAGGGCAAAGCTGGGATCGTTTCTTGTTTTGGCTTGGTAGTAGGCTTTTCCAACTACAGTGTTCATTGTTCTCTAAATCTGCTGCTTACAAAACTTCAGCTTGGGCAATAGCAGCTGCAGCTTTCTTTTCAAGATTAAAAGCTTCAAGGTTGGCTTCTAGTCTAACTTTGTCAGCTTTAATGCTGATCATTTTTGTGGGCGAATGAAACACGTGCACAAGCTGCTGTGGCTTTGGCACGTGATGCTGCAGCACTGACCAGTGACGTACTTGAGTGTCAGTGAGGTACTTGAGCGTTTTGAACTTGAACCAGCACTTTTACTGCTTCTAATCAACACTCCATCTTGAAAACGCTTCATGTCTTTTGATCGAGCTCCTTCGAAGTGTGCTTCCTCCATATCTGTTAATATAACTGCTTTAATGCTGTTCAGCAAACTGCACACCATCTTTTGCTATTCTGAGTTCCTTGTGGGTTAGGGCGCCTCATTGTATATGAACACAATTAGCAATAAGCCTAACTCCTATAGAATGAGCGCTTGAGTCAGGATGCAGGTTCTTTACTTCCATTTTATTCTGGTGACCCAAGTACTCATATGACAGAGCAAACTGTCACATAAATAAAATAGCTGCATTTATTATGAGTATAAAAGAATTAAAACAAAGAACACATTCTTATTGAATAAAATCTACTCTTGAATATTAAATGCAAACTTACAGATGGTGACGTCAATGGCATTAACAAAAGGCTGACTGTGACAGATTCACCTGCTCAAGTGTGAGTGAGTGAAAAAAAAAACTAACAAAATGGCTAACTTCCTGTCCCACACCTACCTTGATCTTCATAATAAAAGCTTTATTACTCTAACACAAAATTAAAACTACAAACCTATTTTACAATAAATTAAAGGGCAGAACAGTATCAGAGATAAAAAGAACGCAATTCTAATCTTCCTACACTGAAGATAAAAAGAGAAAGTAAAACTAACAGTCAATGGCTATAAGATCAAAATAACATATGTTTCAGAGAAATTCAGTTCTCATGTGGACCAGATGCATAAAAAATGGTAAAGCGCTCATTATTGTAGTTTCACAAATCCCACACATGGTTTAAATACTCTATAAGGTGAGAATAATCCTGCCCAGGTTTGAAAAGTCTATAGCAGGGGTGCTCAAACTTTTTGAGACCAAGATCTACTTTTTCTCTCACCAGCCGGCTGAGATCTATCTCATGACATGAAGACATACAAATTATAAATGCAACATTATTGACTAATTTTCTAAGCAAATATAAATCAGTTATGTCAGAAACGATAAAGTGATAGAAAACCTAATGCAGTTTCTTCCTCAGTGAGATTCTGACACTGGGAGCAGGTTACTGGTTTCTCAGTCAGAAGCTGGTTGCAAACCTGAGACCAGCAGGTGTCAGTCAGTTATGGTATATCTGAAATTTGGTTTGATGACGTCAATATGCGAAACTACAGACTGATAGGAGGAACCAAAGAGCTTTGCAAAGGTAAAGGCAAATCTTCTGAGTTTGGGATATAATTTATAATTAATGTAATTTGACACAATTATTGTGGTAGAAGCCATTTGTTTGTTAAAACTTAATCAAATAGCTATATTTGTCCTATTTGATGTTGGTTGTGAGTTTACTGCAAACGAACGAGGTAATTAGTCCAAGTTTGTCGTTTATTGAACGTTCAGAAACTCCAGCGGCTGTGATGAACCACAGCGAAGGAAAACAAAGTAAAATTACCCGAACTCAGAACCACTCGCACCGTTTCACTCTCTCTCTCTTTATTAAGCACACCCGTTGCTGTGGCAACCGCCTGTGCCCCGCAAGCCGAGCAAAGATTACGTTAAAAACGTTCAGTCCATTACGATATCAAGTTTCAGGCTTTATTATTTTTTAATGAAGCTACAAACGTTTTGGATCTTAGTGGATATTTTGAAAAGTATGTCAGAAGAGGAAGTGCTGCTCTCAGCGTCTTGCAGAGATCGACTCAAAACCTCCCCGCGATCGATCGGTAGATCACGATCGACGTTTTGGGCACCCCTGGTCTATAGGAAGTGAAAAATTAGGTGTAATGTCATTTAGCTGCAAAGGAAAACCAATTTCAGCTTTGTTCTTTTGACACATAACACATAAAATGATTTTTATATAAAAAGAATAACTTAACTGTGCATAAAATGCTATTGATTATCATCTTCAATAATTTCAAAATTAAAAAAAAAAAAAGAAGAAGAAAACTGGACAAATCAAAACAGTGTGATTGAGAACCACTTACAATGTACTCTCTGATAAGACCGTGCCTGTTGTCAGGGGGGCTCCAGGAAACCTTTACTGTACCATCCTCATTACTGTCACAAGTTAGCTGGAGATTTCTGGGCGGGTCAGGAACTGCCCCACATTAACACACAAACACACATACAGCCATTGGTAGACAAAAAAGTGTTGGACATTCACAGTGAAATTGGCAGGTGACTGGAATTGACACATTTTTAAGTTAAATGATGGACTGGCTAGTCAGAAACGTAATTTCCTAATCACTGAATACATAACAAGATGCCACCAGGTTCTACCACTCTTTGGTAGAACTGCTGTTAGTGACAGAGACTCAAAGTCAGCTACTTTAAGTGAAATTATTATGCAAGATAATACTAAGATGAAAATTTCAAACTCTTCCAATGATTTCTAAGTGGGAGAACTTGCAAAGTTGCAAGGTGTTCAAATACTTATTTTCCTCACTGTATTCTGCAGGTGCCTCATTGTATATGAACTCTGTTTTCATCACGTATGTCAGGGTGTATATGAATATTTGTACCACTTGCTAGAAAAGTTACCCCTTTGAAGCCCATTTTTTGGCACAATATGTGTTGTTTTGGACAACGTTTGACATATTGATATGTGACTTAACCATTAAGCATATGATATAATGATGACAAAAGCTTCATACAAACGTGTTTTAATACTGTCAATCACTGTATTCAGCTGTTTGTGAGGCTGGCAGCCCTACTCTTATTTATCCATCTTTTACATTTTTTCAGACTCCAGTTTGGAAAAGCGAAAAAATCTATGTTCTGCCCTCCAAATGCTCTGGGTAAAGCGTGCCTTGTGCATGTTCCTCATTGATAACTCTTAACCATTTTTAAAAATTATTTCCCACCAAATCACTATGACCCCAGCATATTTAATAGCAAGCAGTCAGCAAATCAGTAGCTAGAGTGCAGCTCATGACAGATCCAAAAACTTTGTTCCCCAGGTAAGGGGCATTTATGTCGGAACAGGTGCTATCACATCATTTGAACATGTATGTGCACCTGACATTCGAAGTGCAAAAAAGAGGTGAAGAAATACCCCAATGGCCCCTCCACTTAAAAATGATTCTGCTGCCGTTGCCTGTGGCCCTTAGTGAATTGACTAAAATTGTTAAAAAGTTTAATCTTCTTCATGCCATATGGACACCAGCCCAGTGATTTCTTTATAAATATCTTTGACTGTATTAGTCCATGTATTGTTAAAATTGTAAATGCTTCTGTAACGTTTTCCTACTACTCTGAAACAGCTATAGTCCATTCGTTCACTGAAAAGAGTAACCTGGATTCAAACGTGTTCTCTAACTTCAGACCTATTTCTAAATTACCATTTATGGCTGAAGTTTTGAGAAAGTTGCTTAAGTCCAACTGCAGACTTATCCTGACCTTGTCAAAACTGGTGAAAAATTTCAGTCTGATTTAAAATTGTAGTACAGCATTGAAACTGCCCTTTTAAAAGTTTTCAATGATTTTTAAATTGGTTCCCGTACTTTTCCACTGACAAAACTTACAGCATGTGTTCCAGGCGGTGATCCTGATTAAATTCATAACTGATTTTCCGTACTGAGCAGCTCTCTGAAAGCAGACGGCATGTCAGTGGGCCACAACTTAACCTTAATGTTTGCAGTTTTCAGTGAAGTATATCACAAGCCAAACACTGAATGCGGTTAGCTGTCAAATAGTTTCTGTGCCATACTTGGCTCAGTTCTGCTAGTTCCACTCCTAAAGTAGGTACCAAAAAACAGTCAACCAAAGTTGCACTACATTTGTCAATGGAAAACAAATCTCGCCATGGCAGACTAGGACCAAATCAGTTAGAGGCAGTGTAGAGGAAAAGCACAGATACAGGAGTTTTTCTGCAACTCTAGGACAGTATTCCTCCTCGGTTTGGCGCACCCTTCATTGGCTCCCTGTCGTCTTTTGGATAAAGTTTAAGGTTTTATTGATTGTTCAGTGTCTAAACTCTATGGATTCTTCTTAATTAAGAAGCCCTATTCTTATCCTTCACTCCACCCAGAGCGAAGGATAAATAAAACTGACTATTACTTAGTGTCTCTCCCTAAAGCCAGGCCAAAAACTAGAGGGGACAGAGCCTTCTCTGTGGAGCAGTCTACTTCCCTGTTAATATATAACTGACCTCTCAGTCAATAGGTCAGTTTAAGTCCAGACTGATAACATATCTATTCTCTCTGGCCTTCAACACCAGTTAGAGAGAAAATATATGCAGTTGAAATTAAGTATTGTTTTGGTTTTTATTCATGTTATTAGTTTTGCGTTTGTTCTGAACAATGATAGCTCAAAATCCTAAGGAGGAGTTTATCAAAATTTGATATAAGTTGAAATGGCCAAAATTTACGCTTTGACCCAAAATGCCGACCTCCCTGTACTTTTTAGGTGTACCTTCAAGAGACATTTTTTCTTGATTTGGGGAGCTCTATCTAAGTACCAAATTTAAGATTTCTATGACCTACAGTTATCCTATCTCAGGCATTAATAAACCTAACTAAAACATGTCAGTTTAAGTCACAACAAAAATTTTGTTGTGACTTTACATTTGGCTCCAGAGAAGTCTGGGGTCCACTGGAGAGCAGTTTTTTCTCGCCCACTTGCGATTCCACTAAAATTGAAACCTTTTTTTTGGGGAACTAACTAAAAATGTTTTTCAGTTAGTATTTGTGAAGTTTCACTCAAAACGTCATTTTGAGTGAAGTTTGGTGAGTTTTTGAATATGTCGAAGCCTCGAAAAAGCTGTATTTTTTTGTGGAAAAATAATAATAAGAAGAAACCCTGCAGTTACAACAGGCCTTTGCGGCGCTTCGCTGCTCAGGCCTAATTACAAAAGAAATTAGTAATGCACAGTGATTTGGATAAGTAACTTTAATCTGATTATTGGATTTGAAATAGTAATGCACTACATTACTCGTTACTGAAAAAAGTGGTTTGATTAACACGTTACTAATATCACTGTTTGTGAAGCACTTTGGTCAGCTGAGGCTGCTGTAAATATGCTACGTAAATAAACTTTGACTTGACTTAAAATTAAGGCAGGTCATGAAAAACTCACATCCCTCCGGTGTCCTGATGGTGATGGCCTCATTGGTCTTGTGCAGCTTGTTTAAGCACTGAGTGAGAACCTTCACCTGGTAGGTGGTGTCTGGTTTCAGCACAGTCAGTTTATAGCTGGTTTTATTGCTGTGGGTGTCCATATTGGTCCACTCCTGCGTTCCACCAGCCTGAACACAAAAATTAGACATCTGATTGGGGCTAAGCTCAATAGCACAGACGTCAGATGGTAACGGTCCACCAAGCTCACCTGTAGTGTACAAGGAAGTAGCAGGAGTTTGAGGGGAGGTTCTTGGGACGGGACCAGATCAGAGTGATGGCTCCAGAGAAGTCTGGGGTCCACTGGAGATTCTGAACTTTGTAGACAAGTGTGTCCACTGGGATATCAAAGGAAGAAACTGGAATTGTGTAATCCACAAATGCAACCAGAAGGAGGCAGCACTAGACTATTTAAGGCATTTAAAATCACCCCCATTCCTACCAAATTCTCCAGAATAGCCGGCTTATGATAGCTTTGGATTTTTTATTACCGTATATCTTTTTTAAAATTTTGTTGTGACTTTACATTTGTCTAATGCAGTTAGTTGTAATTATTTCTTAGAATGTGTTGGAAAGTTTTTATTAGTTATTATTTGTGAAATATTTTTTCAAATTAGTTTTGGTTAATTTTTAAGTGCAGAATTCAAAAAGGTGAAAGCATTGCATTGTTATCATGTATACATCAATCAGAATAATCAACAGAAGAAACCATTTTCAAAAAAATGTATTTAATTTTTATTGAACGAGTGACTCTGGTGTTTTCTCCCAACCTTTGCTGTTATTTTACGGACTTACTCCTGCCAGCAGGAGTATGGCGTACTCTGCTAGTGTCTGGAAAATGTCAAATAAAAGATTCATTTGACACCAGTTCAAAAGGCTAATAAATAGATTCATGAACACAAAAATGGACATTATACATAACTTCAGCATGTTTTAGTTAGGTTTATTAATACACAATATACTTCTAGCTGGTTATTTGTGTCAGCCAACAAAACTGTTTTCTCTATTTCAGTTTTTGTTATTTTGTTAGTTCCAGGGAACAATAAGAACCTTGCAGGATAAAAAAAACTGAAAACCTACTGGTGCAGTTTCTTCGTCGCTGTGGTCCGAACAGTCCAGGTAGCCGTCACAGCGCTCGCTATCCAACACGCAAAGCTCACCGTCAGAACAGCGAGTCCCGTTGGTGCAGAGCAGAGACTGCCATGTGGCTAAACACAAACAGAGCTTCCACATTAGACTCTTGTTGGTACACTACCTGCCTCTGATAATTCAAACAAATGGTAAATGGTATATGAACTGAACTTATGATGCGCTTTTTCAATCATTTGGACCACTCAACGCTCTTTACAAAAGAGCCACATTCAGTATTCTCATTCACAAACACAACAACATGTTTCATAACAGAAGGGATTTGTGGGGCAAAATCTTGTCTCAGGTGTGGTTAAAGGGATGCTGAAGACCACATAATAATAAAAAACAACATACATCTTTAAATATCTAGATGAGTGAAGAAGTAAGATGAGTCATTATGGCATGAGGAATCTCCAGCTGAATAAAATCAGAGCTGACAATATGAAAACTCAGTGTTTTTACAGCTGAGCTTAACAAGGATAAAGAAGACAGAAAAACAGGAACTTTTAATTATGCAACTGTTATACTAACAATAGAGTTCCTTCACGTTTTTCATTTCAAAATATCACACCTTTCAGAATCAAATGCCTAAATTCTTTCTGCAATTTTTATAACAGTGTGGACATTTGAGGAACAAATACTCACCTTGAGCGACTTCAATAGTTATCACTATTCCAATGTGATTCTTGTAAGAAAAAAGCTCTGTATATAGTTGTTTGGAAAAAGGAAATAAATCGTTTCATTTTGTGTCCTATAGATAAAAAACAGATTTATGAAAAGAGTATGCAAGTTTTGTGCATGTGTGCTGTGCTGTTTTCAAACTATGCACCTATTTACAGATAAAACGAAAAACATATACATTAATAACACTTTAATAGAGCAAGTAAACTGCTGCATTCTTAAATATAACTTTGACCTGCCAAATGAATATGAGTATAGTTTTCGTGAACAAAATTTCCTTAATAGAATGTAGATTTAAAGTGTCAGATTCTGGAGCACAAAATATCCTCATCTTATTCCAGATGTTAGT